CTCAGCCACCGGCCACCCCACCGCCACTTCCACCGCCACCCGTCTCAGCTCCGGTGCCGGATTTTGTCCCGGCACCATCACCGGAGCCCGCCAAACACAAGAAGAGACACCATAAACACAAACATCATCACTCTCCGGCACCGGCACCGGCATTGATCATCCATAGCCCTCCGGCCCCACCTACCGTTCAAGATTCCGACGATGACACAGCATTCGCACCTTCCCCAACTTTTAATCTGGTAACTATTTAAAATCTTTTTTAACAGATCAAGGGTTATTTTCGTAATTTGACATAGCATATCAATTGCAGAACGGAGGCGTATCGAGAAGAACTAGCATGAGGGTTACTGTTGGAATTGCATTGGCTACGTTTTTGGCCGTCAGTAGTTTTTGCGCCTAAGATTTTTTTCTGCGCATAAGTTTTTGGCAAAATGAGAGAAAAGGTGTATTGGCATACAGACGAGGATCAGAGCATCAGTGCATTTGTAAAACCACATAATAATATTTTTCATTCTTTTTGTACCTCTGAAGATTGATTGTGTTATCATTCATCACTACATGAATATAATGAAATTGTTTTCTTTGTCATCATCAACCCAGAATGAAACTGAACTGTGGAAATTTAAATAAAAAAAAAAAAAGAGGAGAAAATGGATCTCTCTAGGTATGATCAGTACTTGCATCCTGATCAATTTCATCGTGGAGCTTGTATTCAGCTACAAGACCGAGATTGTCGACTAGCTTGTGATATCGAGAACATCCTGAACACTGTTTGATAGAATAATCAGTTCGCGAAATTCTGAAAAAAGACAGGCTACATAAAGAAGATTGTTTTATAAACACAGAATAATAATGCAAGAATTTATAAAAGAAAAACTTTAGAAAGTATTGAAATGATACTTCTATTTCTGATGGCTCTATGCAACCAGTTGCAAGAGATTATGTCATGTCATTATTGAGTATTAATTAAAATAAACTACAGAAAATCTAATCCATCTTCTCAAAATCCAAAAAAAAAAAAAAATGTTTTATCGCATCATGTATTATGACATTATAATTTAGTAAGTCATACTAACTGCCTATGTTCACAAGGAGAGATAGCCTCTGCTAGTTATGAGAAAAGAGTCAAGTGTACATTTTTCAGGGAACAATTTTTGACACGAAATAGTTTTGATGGTGAAATATTTATTTACAGAGGACAAAACAGATATAATATGAACACAGAAGCAACATGCTATTGCCAAATTACTGGAATAAAAATAAATCATCTATATTACCTGCACGTAAACAAGCCCGCGTTCATAGGCCAATCTATTTATCAGCCTCTGTGATCGAGCACTACAAGCATCACATGTAAAAGTTACCAATAAACTTCTCCTTGGGAGTTTCAGATCAATGGCAGCCTCCTAGAAGCAAGAAATTTGGATTACATCAACGTACAGTTATTTCAGTACCATAGAACTAATTGAAAAGATAACTCACAATACATAAGCTAATGAGTCATGGAAAACGATTAAAAGAGAGGTTGCAGATCCACCGATGGGAAAACCCATGAAATCTTTAAAATTTTTACGGAAAAAAAGGAAAAAAAAAAAGAAAAAAGAAAGAAAAGGAAAAAAGAAGAAGAAGAAAATCTTACTGAGGCAAATGCACTATGATGTTTTTAAGGGTAGAACAGAACTTAAATCAGATACACAAAACTCTTATTTCCTTTCAGATTTTCATGTCCAAAACGTCAAATATCATGGTTAGAAGAAAAAAGAAGGCCTAGCATTTATTACTAAAGCAACTTAAAAGATAATTGCCCAGAATCCCACATTACTGATTCACATCTAACAAGCAAGAACTATTTATTTATTAAAGAGAGAACAAAAAAGCAGGCCGCACAAATCATCATGATATATTCCAGCAAGCGATGCATAACCAACGTACAACAGGCAACTCACCGATATCTATATAGTATTAAACAACAGAAAAAATAAATAAAAATAACTATAAACCTTCTGGGACTCTCCGAATTCCTCAGGACTACCTTCCGACACACATGAAACCCTTGGCGCCCTTAAACATTGCACTGTCTTGTTTCGTTGGCAAGAAGCCCTCAACCTGATAAAAATAGGATCTTTTATTATTTTTTTGCTTCTTATACAATTACAGGACACGAAAAAGACAATCTTTAAGACTCTAAACCCAGAAGAAGAATGATCTCAGATAAACCTACAGAGCTAAAGAAATTGCAATTCTAACTACTGACTATGACCTGGGGAGTTTATATGCTCCACAACTACGAGCAAGATTGTTTCCGAAGAACTGTGAACATGAAAGTGAAGGAATTGGCGTTTCGATTTTGATGTTGCTTCGTGGAGAACAGCCAAAGGAAGGAATTTTGCAGCTGTTAATGGCGGCCATTTTCAATGGCAGCATAAAAATGATTTTGGGGCTTTAATTTGTCGTTGTTCTTTTTACTTGGAAGAAATCAATTTTACCCCCAAATATATTGCCTCTTCGCTTTTGGCCACCATTCCAATTTAATCAATTTTGGTCACAAAGTCAGAAGGCCACTAACAATTTGATTGAAAATATTGTAAGGATGGGATTTACAATTTCATAAAATAATTGGGTCATTTTTACTTGGCTTAAGTTTGGGTTCATTTCATAACTTTATTTTATTATTTCTAGATAGAAATTAAAATATTTACATTTATCAGTGTTTTTACTGTTAGATCAACACAAACGCATATATATATATATCTTGGTGTCATAAAAAAAATGAATGACTGTTTGAAATGCATCTAGATTGTGTTTGAAATTTCCATGGACTAACGCCCACGGGTTTTTATAAACATCACCAAGATACAAAGACTTTTTTTTTTTTTTTATGTATAATGTCACTCCAAATACAGAAAATTTCGATAAACTTACTCGTGTATAAAACTCTTAAGAAATGAACGAAAACAACAAAAAACAAGATGCCATATATTCTAATGTTCTAACTCATTATTTTCTTTATTTAATATAATAGCAAGTGTATATAAATTCTAGTCATATGGGTATTTTCAATGTAGGAATCATCTATAGAGGATTAAGGGTCAAAAGATACATTTGAGACGTGTCCAACGAAAACGACTATAATCGATCGACAATTCCACAGAGTCCCGCAAGCACCAAACATCCCATAGTGTGAACTTGTCAGTACCATTGTGCCCTTGAGATGTAGGGGAGGTAGTATTATATTGTTAGTGTAGGTGTGTGTTGTAGCATTTTTTTCTTGTTTTTCTTCTTGTTTAGTTGTCAGTCTAGAACATCTCCTTTATGGAATTTTTTTTGTCTTATTCTGTAGGATTGTATTAGGGTGTTCTTGTTATCCTCATTAGTTGATTGTGTAATTCCGATTGGGAGGGAATCTAGACTCCGTTCTGATTCTAATGATGTCAGTTGACATCTAAAGTATACTCTATTTTGCAGTTTTTAATATAATTATCGTTCGATAGAAAAACAAAGCTCTTATTGGCCCGAGCACTTCCTCGTCTACTCGTCCAAGCCCACTTGTCCCCGAGTTTGCTAATTATGAATATTTTCTATATTTTGGCTTATTTTCTACTCAAAATTATTCTTTAGTTCACCCTAAAATGTTTTGAGAATATTTCTAAGTCTTCTATTTACAAAAACTGAAACCATAAATTGGTATAAAACTAATTTTTCCTACATTTTTTATTTTCTTTTAGAATGTTATTCACTTTGCAACTTGAAACTTCGGGGGTGATTGTTTATCAATTCACTCAAAAAAAAAAACACCAATCAAAATTCAAATTTAACTCAACTTTAACTCAACTCCACTATCTCTAATATTATAATATAATTAAATAATATCAACCAATCATTCAAACAATCATTCTTACACATCACATCAACTTTAATTTATTATTCATCCTATCACATAATTTTAACTAACCACCACTCACAATCATTTTTCTCTTACTTTTACATCATATCAACTTTAATCATTTTATTTTAAATATTATTTTAATATATCCACTAACAATTAACCATACAAACTTTTTTCAAAAGTAACTATAGTTAAAAAAAAAAACCAATTAATTGCTAGATGAATTCATAACCAATCACCCCCAAATCCACAGTGTTGTAGGTTTATGTTAAAGTAACATAGTGAGAAATCGTGTTTCAAGTAACTTCATCACTTCTATTTTTGTTTATTTCTCTATTTACGTTCAACATGCAGGTAACTCCATACTCCATGGACGAGAGAGTTGTGTATTTGGAGATTTTTGAAGTTTTAAGTGGCTTTAAGAACACACCATTGATCTTATTAGGCCCAAGCCATTAAATACAAATCAAGTTACACAATCACAAGCCAAAAGTTCATATCATAAACTTAAACATCAAAGGCAATCACTATAAGAACTGCTGAAACTTCACATAATAGCCAACTTCAACTTCACTTCTTTCCTCCTTTGCCTCCCGATACCTACAAACACAAACGAAATCTCTTCAATATTACTACATGACGAACAATTATAAATCTTTATCACGATCTTTCATTTTTTACCATTGTAAATCAAGAATCCAATACAAATACATAATTTGAGTTCAACATGTACTCGCCTTTTTCCTAGGCTCCCGAGTCTTTTGCTCGCCCTTGGGCTTCAGAGCTCCTTGTTTCGGGCCCGGGCCTTTGGTGGGCTCTTTCTTGGTCGGGCCCTGTGACTGTGGCCCGATAGGCTTCTCTGCCTTGATCGATGCCATATCTTTCTAGAGCTTAAGAAATGACTTGAATATCTAGCTACCTTAATTGCCTTAGCATTTGGTCTTACTCAATTGTGTGCATATTTATAGCTTTTATTTTCACATGGAGTGAGAATAAAAATTGTCCCAGCCAAATGCCATCAAACGTGCTTGGATTAGATGCTGAGAATAGAGACCAACGCTTATATTATTTTGAGCATAAACATATCAGTACAGAGAATATTGTAACTGGGCAAAGGTTCTTTACTTATTGATATTACTAAGGAACAAATCAAAGTGTGAGAGGACATAACTGACATGGACAGTTGCATCATTATTAGTCACTATTGACATCAGATTATTATGCTTCATGAAAATCACTACTTCCTCTGTATAATTATAGTTGTCCTAATCTAAAAGCTATATATGAATTACAATGTTAAGAGGTTGTGTAGTTTATCTTAAACCAAAGCTTCATAAATCTAGTATTTAGATATTTGTCTCTTTATTATATTATTTTCTCTCCCATCCTCTACATGATATTTTAATTTTTACTACTTTGCTCCATTTCCGCAAGTACAAGTACAAAACAATAAGTAAGATATCAATTAATGATTGATCGGAAAAGAAAAGAAAGAGAGAAAATTTTTAAGTGAATATAATATCTCATATTAAGTTCAAGAATGTGATGGAGACGAGATTGCACTGACTTTTCTACACAACATCTCTAGGTTAATTATTTATTCATTTTATTTTACTTTTATTTAAAATATTTATTATTTTAGTACTCTACTTGGCAAGGAAGTTTATGTTAAGTATGGTTTTCTTAGGAGTCATATCTAAGACTTTTAGAGCACCCACAATGTTTTGGGTCTCTTAACAAAAAATTACATGCCACATGGGAAATAGACTTAGTCTATAAAAAAATACTTCCCAATGCAATTAAAAGTAGACATGGTCTAGCTTATGTGGCAATGAAAAAAAGAGACCAAGTCCACACTTGGGTCTATTTTGGACCTAAGTAGAAACCCAAACACTCATCATTTGTTCTTATTTTTTTTTTTTAATGAATAAAACATATTAGAGCATTCCTATTGGTTGACATGTATGCTAGACCTAGTCTTTTTATTTTTGCATTGCAAAATTTTTGAGTTTTTTTACTTGGGTTTGTCCATGTCATTTAAAACTCAAGTCCAATTATATGCCACATATACAAAAAGAGACTCAAAGCATTGTGGATGCTCTTACTCTATTGTTTAGAGACTTTGGTTATTTTTTATTGAATACAAATCAAGAGTTTTCTCTCAGTTCTCCTTGTGTTTACGCTTTTCGATACGTCAGTTGGTATGAGCAAATCAGTATGATTCTACGCCATGATGTCCGAACGGAATGATGCCGTAGACGACAGGCGCGATTTCCAGATCGTGGCATTGGGCCACTAGTTCGAGGCACTTTCCGAGGAGGTGGAGGACATCTTTCTAGCGCTAACCGCACCTGGCCACGATGAGTGCGCACACCTCGGGCCTGACATCGTGCTTCGCGGCCGCGAGGAGAAGGGGGGATCGACGCGGTCAGGGTCCTGCTGGGCGCTCCTCTCCCGAACGCTTCTGTCGTACTTTGTCGACGAAGACCTAGAGGATAGCTTCTCCGAGGTAAATCCGTTCAACACAATGGCAGCGCAGGAGGAGGGTCGGTTCACCGACGATCGACGATGGGAGTCATTGTTACAGAGTTCTTAGACTGGATCGCCACGGTCGAGAACATCCTCGACTTCAAAGAGGTGCCAGACGACCGGCGAATGACACTCAGACTAGGAATAACNAAAAAAAAAAAATGAGAAAAGAGAAGAGACCACGGTGCTGGAGGTGGTGTGATTTGGGGAATAGGCAACCAAGTGGTGTGTTCTACTTTATGATAAAGTAACCAATGGTGTCTCCATCCCATTGGTTAATCTTTTTTTTTTAATAATTTTTAAACTAATATATCTTTTATATAATAAAATAAAATAAATAAATAAATATACCAAAATTCATAATTTTTAATTCTCTACTAATAGAGACCAATTTTGCTATACTTATTTTTTATTTTTAAATTGACATAAATATATAGTTTTTAAATTTCATATGTTTTTTATATAATAAAATATAAATATATCAAAATTCGTAATTTTTAAGTATGTATGAATATATATACTAATTATGTTGTATTTGTTTATTATTTTTAAATTAAAATAAATATGTTATATCATATTACATAAATCCCCATCACTTCTCACAAAAGAAATCAATCTGAGCCGTTTGTTAAAAGCACAATCTTCGTCAATTTGATTTTCACCGTTCATCACTAAAGCAATTAATCTGGTCCATTCTTTCAAAAAACACAATCCATGTCAAATTGACCCCTAGCATTTATAAATACAACACACCATAATTTTGTATCATCAAATCACTACAATCAAAACTTTCTTCTTATCCAAATTATCATTTCCACCAAAACTTTGCAAAAGATGTCATCAGATGAAAACTTTGATGAATGGCATGAAGGCCTTATACTTCAAAATCTTCAAATTGACTCACAAATGGAGGAAATTGCTTTTCGCATTCCTACTATATCTTTTCAGCCTACAAACACCGCTAATGAGCCCCGACGATGCTACATTGAGCGACAACGTGAGAAGGGCCATGAAGGGGTGTTCGAGCAATACTTTTCAGATGATCCAATATATCCTCCAGAAGTT